AAGAGCGTCTCTTGTATATAATAGTATTAATTTACTTTTTTTTTATAAAAATTATCACGATTCAGAAGCTACTTAGTATGGCTTCACAATTATCTCTTTAAGATACATTTCGAAATCAAGTTAATAAAGTCAGAGTATATTACTGTTTACGGTGGAATTATGTTTTATGGGCTCTTTTTATTTAGACTAGCACGAAAAACGTTTCAATTTAGATATGTGATGTTTCTGAGTTTTAGTCTTATAAAACGAGAGGAGGAGTAGTAGGAAGATTCAGTGATTACTTGTTTCTAAAGATTCTTCAATAATTAACAAGCAATAATTTCCAGACATATAAATGTAAAGATGAACAGAATGAATAATTAAAATACTTGCAATACAAATCATGGCTCAACTTGCATCATGTTCCAGAGTTACAATATCAAAGTAATATAACTACGTGATTAAAAGAAATAACTAAGAGAACTATGCTAATTCTACTCCTAAAAAGCAAAGAAAAGTGGTCAAGAAATTGATACCCAGCAGATGCGTGCACGAAAGCCATATGCGCAGGCAGAGAGTGCTTACAGAAATGTGAGTATGAAATTTCCGACCCTGAAGAGATCCGTGATCTTTCTATTTATAGAGACATAATGAGTGGTTAATTCTGTACACGTATGCTCTTAACCCATAACTGCTACCCACTACATTTGCTACGTGGTTCAGAATAATAACTTCTTTAAACCGCTTTTCCCACGTGTTCTTATTCTCTCCTTTGATTTTGATAACCGCTTCTGGCTTAGCCATTTCCTTGTTCGACTTTTCCGAAGTGCGTTATGTTCGACCCTATCTTGAATGTTTCCATGTGAAGTCTTGTTTCCAGCTTGAATGCTCTCGAATCTCAATTCGACCTTATCTCGAGTACCCCCCTTTAGGACTAGTTATAAGTCTTCCATGTATGGTAGTCTTGAGGCAATGCCCTTAGTCAAACCCTTTTCGAGTCCCATAATTTCGAGTGCTTAACAAATGCCCCCCTAGGAATTTCGTTTCGATGAGCATCTTAGGGGAGAACTAAATTCCTATCAAGGTTGTTCTTCGATACTTCCTCGATTTGTTTCTTGATGTTCACTTTTCTTGATGTTAACTAATCATTCCTTCGATGAAAACCTTTTCTCGTCATTAATTAAGGTACTGACCATTTGGATGTGACATTGATGGCTCTGACGGCGCATACTTCCATTTTTCCATAAATTTGTCTTCTGATATGAAACGTTTTGGCGGTTGTTTTGAAAATTTAATTTAAATTTCAAATAATTTTTTCCAGCCCAACCCATTTCAACCTAGGCCCTTTTACCTCATTTAAAACCTTTTTTCACCCTAGGGTTAAATCGTTTTCACCATTCTCTTCCTTCGTGCCCAAGTTTTCTTGCTCATTGTTCCTTCTTTTGCTCTGGTTCTTGATCTTCTTCTCCGACCGTTCTCTCTGTTCTTGCTTTTGTTCGTTATGGCTTCTTCTGCTGCGTCCACTTCCGCCGCTGTAGCTTCCTCTATATCTCCAACTCCTACTACTGCCTCTTCTCCCGTCTTGGCTACTATGACAAACACTCCCTTAACCACTATGGCCACCACCACTTCAACCCAGGCGGGTTCCTTGTTTATGACTGGCGCTCAAATGTGCAAGGTTAAAGATGGGGACGATACCTTCGTCCCTATCCCAGGCATGGAGGAGGCAAGCCTTAAAATTTATCAGTCCCAGGTACTTCTTCCTTTTACTCTTGCCAATGGTAATACTCATGCTTTTTTAGGTCCGTTTATGGGTCAAAACAAGAAAAAATTTGGGAATACTTTGTTACCTGAAGACGAGTCGTCCTTACCCTTCATCTACTCTTCGGAAATAGATTTATCTTTGTTCAGCGATACCACTAAGATTTTTAGGGCTTTTTCCCCTCTTAAAGATAGACATTTTTAGTGGTTACTTCGAGTAGAACAAGCAATGGGTCCT